CATTATAACTTTCATTTTACTTATATATACTTACATATGTTATTTAAGTTGTAATGTATGTATGAGTCGCGACATTCGCCGCGTCATGTGACCTGGATTAGCTACTTATGAATATGAGCCCCTAGCATGGCTTGAAACTAGTCGAGTTCCTCGTCAAACAGGAACGTGAGTAAACCGAAAAAGATAATAATCTATATACCCCGTGGTATGGAGCTACCCGGAGCGTAGATCTATGCGAGACACGTTGTGTTTTTTATTATGTCTTACCTATATACAAGTATACACCCCATTATGAAGAAAATTTTCAGCCAGTGACTCCAGCTACTAAACTAAAAAAAAAATGGTTGCCTGTAAAGTCGTTTTTACGGGCGAAGATTTTACGTGACAACGTCTTTTTCTCGGTAGAATATTTATTGATATGAATATAATTAAATTGCACAATAGGAACAAGGAATTGAATGAACTAGTGCTGCGCGCGCGGCAGACCGATCATAGTTGAGTGGGAGAGAGACGCAAGGCATTCGGCGGGCCTCTCTCTCGTTCGGTGACTCATCGTAACGTTACCGAGCGTTACACTTTTTCATAAGTGACTCCCAGCCGCAACCTAATTTAAGACGTTGTCACGTCAAAAACTTAAGGAAATGTTTAAGATCGTTTTAGTTTAGTTCATAGGAGTATTTGTGTTAGATAAGTACAACTTATATTGAATTACATTATCGAAATTTAAACACGGTTCCGTGTTTTCTCTCTTATTAAATACAGCCTATGTTCGTCATGGATAATATAGGATTCGAACGGGATAAAAAATTTTCAAATCGGTCTGGTCTGGTAGTAGTAGTAATATTCAATTCAAATAACAAACTCACAAAAAAAACAAACAAAAATTCAAAATTTTCCTGTATACCAATAGCGTAAATGTAGATAATGTTGTTAAGTATCGAATTTTTGATATATAAGGAAAGAATAAAATACACTTAATTTTATTGTATTTATTTTTATTATCTATACAAAAAGTGCAATGTACAAAAGAGAAGAATAATTTAATCAAAACATTCATTTACACGTAGCACAGAATATTATTATCTAGTTAATTCTATAAATACATATTTCATATTATACTATTCTACTTTTTGATCCCCAAAGGGGTAGAGAAGTACATTTTCATAATACTTCAAATACTTTATTTCAGTTTACATCAGAATTAAAGGGAAGTTAGTGTCCTGAAAATATGAAACTAATAACATTTTAAGTAACCCCTAAGCGAAGATAGGTGACATTTAACATTTACCTATAAGTGACATCTAACAGTACAAGAAAGGGGTTTGGTTAGGTGCTACGTCAGGCTAGGTAACTTTTAGTTAAGAGGTTGTTTAGGAGTGGTTAGTGACTACGGCCTTTAGAGATTCCGCGAGCTACAGCTAGTATATAATATAAAGTACATAAGCTAACACATCTGCCCATCCCCTCAAGCGAATTCATACAATCATGATGACCTATGTTCAGTAGCAATAAAATCATTATAAAATTAATAATTTCTTGTAAATAAATATTACGTAATGTCATAGTTATAATTATAATTATATGTAGGTAATTATAGGTATATAGAAATACTTTTATAGCTTCATTTTCTTTTACATTTAAAGCAAATGGTTAGCTTTTTAAAGATCATATTAGTAAAAACTGTGGGAGAGCCATGCATCGGCACGAATGGGCTGGTTCGACCGGAGTTATACCACGGCCGAGCAGAAAACTGACGTGAAGCAACGCTTGTGTTATCCTTCGTCGCGTGAGTGAGGTTACCGAAGGCCATACAGATAAGGGCCCCCTCCCCAATCCCCGAATCCCCAACAATCCTCAAATTCTAATCCCCAAAAGGCCGGAAGGCACTTGTAAAACCTCTGGTGTTTGTGGTGTCCATGGACGGCGACTATTGCTTACAATCAGGTGACCCGTCTACTTGTATATAAAATATAACAAGATAAGGGACAAACGAACAATGCGAATCAACTGCTGTAGTGATCAATGCTCCTAATAGACAAAATCATTTTGATTGAATTCAAGCAAAACCAAAGGTAGTATAAATGCCGTTAACTGTACTACAAAACAACTTCAGTATTTTTTATTTATTTAAATCATAAATGCAAAATATAATACAAAAATATACAATATAGGTGTTTCATATTAAGCAATACTATGGGATTTTATATATTCATATAAAATTAATATATTTCTTCTAATACATTAAACAAAATATCTTACCAGCACAATACATTTAACTAATATTTACAAACCATCTATTTCATACTTCAAAATTAATACTTTACTTATTTAAACTACTTATTTTAGGTAACTTCTAATACTCTGCTTATAAGATTAAAAGAATGGAAATAAAATGCTTCATTTCTTTAAAATACTATTAAATATATCTATGTCATGCAAAAAGGCAGTAACTATTTGTAATATCTTACAAATTCGCAAATATAAAATCTATCAGTAGTGCCATCTAGCAGCAAGTAGCAAAACTTTCAACGAATTCAGAAAGTTTAAGTTTAATAATAAATCACATTTGTGTTCAGATGAAGCGTAAACTCAATTTGAAGTAGCGGTAAACGTGCATTGGCAACAGCTCGGTATCCAAAATACGTCCGTGTAAAGATTTTGTCCGCTTGACTGAAGAGCGACCAAACGTTTTTGAATATATTTTTGCTCGCACCGGGAAGTATATCCAGGTGGCACTGTGCATAATCCACTGCATGACGTAGATCTGTAATATAATTATTACCAAACACATTAAAAAACTGAATATAAATTAGTGTATAATTCTTTGTTTAAGCTACTCGACAACAGATGACGCTGTTACAGTATTTCAAAATGCGTAGGACAGATGGCGCTGTACTTAATTTATTCAAGTGAACTTACGTGCAAACCTCAGCTCGTACAAGTTGTGACATGTTATCGGGCATGTTAACGACATATTTCCAGTTGCCTTTGTTATTGAGGGCCGCCCTAATAGGTATGAATTCAGTTCGGACTGAGCATAGAGTCTGTGTAGTAGGTGTTGCTGCTTGTCGCCGGCGGCGTTCTGCCGAAGAATCTTCACTGTGAAGGAACATAATTTGTGTTTGTTATACAAAAGTTATCATAGATAGATTGGTATCTATTAAAAAAACACAAACTTTACAAAGAGTTTACAAACAACAGTCATTAACACCTTGAACGCCAACGTATGGACCACGCTAGCAGAGAATTTACCTTCAACAGTTTTCTGTCGGCAGTCAAAGCCTTAATGCATTTCAATTTGTATTCCAACCTAAAAAAGCATTACATAGGCAGGTGCTTTGGAGTACCTACTTGGAGATCACAGTTTAAAGGTTCATATCAGAGTACACTGCCGACCAGTCTCTAAGTCGGCTCTCACATACCCGCGGGACGCATAGGACTAGTCACAAATGTATTCTACTCTACCAAAGAAATAAGTAAACTCACTTAGCAAGTCCTAAAGCTATCCTCAACGCTTCAGCTCCAGTTAAAGTTCGTTTTTCAGCCGCCTTGACCAGCTCAGCGTTCCTCTTGCGTCTGCGCACCGTTGACGTGCGAGTGGGAAACGTCACCGATCTCTCTACGGTTACGTCTGAGCGGGATGGAGACATGTATCTGTAGGTTATAGTTAAAATGTTAGAATTTTATTTTCTGTTGCTCCTTCATCGAGATTTCAAGTATGTAGGTAGAAAAGAGGGTTAAAATATTATTGTTTTTCTAAATTGTATGAGAACATAATAGTCATGACTAAACACTAATTAGATGTAGGTAAAAGAATAATAAATTAAGTAAAAGTAGGATTTAGTAAAAATGAAACTAAGCTATAGGACGATCAGAAATTATAATTTTGAGCATATCACATGAAATCAAAATAGCTGCTAGAAGGTAACCAACCAATAATCCAATAATTTAAAATTGTAAATGTCCATCGTTATTATTCATTGGATTTTGGAACTCTCTAAAGTCGGCGCGTACGCAGGGCTAAGCCCGACACTGACTGATGGAATACATAATTAGTAAAACATAAACATCGTCATAATAAAATGCAAGTAGTTTCTCTAACATCGATCATAGAGAAAAAAGTTTGTAAAAATGTCTATAGTTCTGAGGCATTAAAGATTATAGACGTCTTTATTTATGGTCTTTCCCACGATAATATTTCTCGTTTGAATAAGGAACTTTGCGGAGATATCATAAATCATTGTTAATGAGACGTTCTTTTAAACCCAGGAAAGAAATTAACTACTTTTCTTTAGACAGACATAGAAATGATTAGTTTTTGCCAATGCAAAATTGTAAAAAACGTATTTTTATTTTATTGTGAAATATTTTCTAGTTATAAACTCTTAACTCTTAATTATAACAAAAATATTAACTCTTAATTATAATTTTAATGCTACCAAAAACTTTCTTATATAATCCAACAAGAACTCCCAATGTATTTTTACGTGAAGCAATCATGCTAGCCAAGAAGGAGGCGAGGCGCGTGAGGGAACGAACCTCCTCACGCCCCCGGTAGTCGCGGAAGACATTCGGGGTGTCGGAGATGGCACAACGATCTTAACGAATGAACGAATCAATCAGAACCAGACCCGTACGTACGGCGTGTCGCGTTCCGCGCGCGCCTCAAAGTGCGATCATACCACCACAGATGGGGCCCAACAGGGCTGATGCCGATACGGAGCCGCGCAAAGCCTAACGGGTTGCCGGGGCTACGGCTCGAAGAGCAGGAGTGGTTTTAGTCAGTAAGAGTCTGACACTGCCTATCGCCTAATCCAAGGTGGGAAAAGTCATTGGATGATTTCCCCACACAAAAAAATGTATTTTTACGTAGATAAAGATCGTAAACAGATTATTTATTGTTTAAAGGATAATTAAATGAAGAATAAATAACGAAATTAGAAATCATAGACTGCCTCGTTGGCCGAGGGGTTCGATTCCCGGGTCGGGCAAAGTATTACTTGGTTATAAAAAAAAATCTGTAGTAGGACGGAGTCTGGAATTATGCCCGGTATATGGCAATAGGCTCATTCCTCTATTACATGGGACTCATAGCATAAATAGTGAAAAAAGGGTGTTAGATTGTACAGTGGCATAATGTGCACCTCGGCCTACCCCTTCAGGGATAAAAGGCGTGATGTTATGTTATGTTTGTGAATCAAAAATTACTACGCGTACGAGAAAAACGTAAAAAACAAGATAGACTTTATACTATAACAAAAATCATACTCACTTCCACCACTCATTAGGATTGTACTGCGACACCCCAGAAGATGACGGACGAAACCATTCATTGCTTTCATAGTTCGGATAAAAATTAGTCGGTTCAAAGAAATTCTGAGTGAACGGACCCTGTCTTAGGACCTTTTTGTCATAATCTCCAAAACTCCTGGTCGGGTTCCAGTAACCGTTTGGGGAGTAACCATGGAAACCGAATTTTGAGAAGTTGCTTGCGTGGTAGGCGTTGATGTTGTATGGAGTTGGGTCGCTCGCTGTTGGCGGCTGGAGCGGCGTTTTCTGAGAAAATATGTCTGGAAAGAGATATCGTCAAAGATTAGTAGATGTTTTTGTTTTTGCTGGCAAGGACATCGTATAGACAACAAGAACAGAACAATCAGTTTATTTTGGCTAAAATAGGTATATAATCTTTTATTCGAAAAAATCCTAGAATGGGGCAATATAAATAAAAAATTCAAAAATCATTCGCCAAAAATTACATTTACATAGTTATAGTAGTCGCATTTCATAAAATATGGGATATTCTAAATAATTAATATCCAATCCCTGAATCCTCAACAATCTTCAATACCCTAATCCCCAAATTCCCGGTAACACAATTGCAACGTCCCTGGTGTTCCAGGTATCTATGGGCGATGCCGATTGCTTACCATCAGGTAGTCCGTCTGCTCGTTTACCGGCGTATATACCATAAAAACACACAGTTCAGAAAAGTATAGTGAAAGAAAATTTGTACCTAACTACCTATCTACTTAAATCGAAACGAAAAGTCGATAAATAAATTTCTACCCATCAGTAACCAGGAAAACTCAAAATAAGTGTGCAATTGAATAAATACTCGATTACATACAATTTGTAAGGTACCGACTTTTTTAGTATCGATACATCGATCTAGACAGCGGCAGCGATGTAATGTCGATGTATTCAATTTATTTCTAAGATATTCTCTTCTCACGAGTGCAGAGACGTCGCGTTGGGACATAGTTTGAAAGCCGTGTAATACAGGCTCAGATTTAGGAATAACTTACACATTTCTATTTACTTATAAATAAAAGTTGTCTAAGTAATAATGATATGATATCGTAGGCATCATTTACTGTAATAGTCTACACTTTTACTTTAATAATCTCCATCTAAGGTGAGTTGAATACCATAGACAATTTATGAAGAAAACATTTTCACAACTATGTGTATATTCTTTAATATTCTATACAATAAACCAGCCATTAGGTATAAATTATAAATTATGCCAAAAAAAAATACCATTAAAGTGATTATATTCTGCAAATAACCCTATTTTTCAGCCAATGTGTTAAATGAATAAAGAATTTTGTGTATTATATTTCAATATAAACTATATAAGTTAAATATTTACATTATAAATATGCCAATATTATCATAATTATTACCGTGCCTTTACTGTTTGTCAGTGGTGTCTAAATAAATTTATTAGAAAGTACATATAACTTGGAAAAAGTCACATTGATACTTGCTGTTGGTAAGTTTGAAACCAGTACCCTCATGCATGAAAAGAGGGCGTCTTAAACTTCCAAGTCCCCACGATCACAATTAATACTATTGATACTGTCCCTATCTAAATACGGCCCTGTTCCCCATACAACCAAACTCTTGACCTATGTAACGCTTAACGTATTCAGGTAATACACCCACATGATCGAGAGACATTAGGAAACGCGGAAACACTAAATCTGTCTGTTACTCTGTTCTTAAGACTGCCATTACTATAACTTACCATTATTTATTCGACTTCTGGGATTATTTATTTATTTTCACTTTTTCAGTCGTAATCGTCCCACCGTAGGGCAAATGACTCCCTGGTTCTCTGGGATTATTTAAATAAGTTACTGTTGGGAAGTATTTTAAAATTATTCCATAAAAATACTTATTCAGATAAGTATACACACGCCAAAGTAGAAAAATAAGAAATTCTAAAATTTACTTTTAAACTCATAGACTAGATCAGAGGACGAATAAAAACCGACCTAGTATTTAAGTTCACAGTAAATTTAACATTTTATCGTTTGACCTATAAGGTTCATTATTGCTTAATAATAATTAAACACAGTTTTAAATGCACTTACCATGATTATACCTCGTATGGAACTTGTAGTTTTTTTGATAGTGAGGGTCATTGACCAGGGAGATCTGGTCGACGTGGGGCAGTGAATTGGGCCCATAATCGTAGGGGTAATCGTTTTTTTTTAGCGAAAACTCGTCGCGAGTTTCATCCGACAGAAGAGTGCTGATGTCGTACTGCCCTGCTTCTATAAGCTGGCGGATTATTTTCCTGGAAGAAAAAATAAGTATCGAATTAGGTTAGAGCAATCAAAATTGGGTTGAACTACTTACAATGTGGTCCTAGAACTTTGTCGCCAAAAGTGAGTGTACTTTATTAACCTATCCAATTAACCTTTTAACCGATAGTAAACTTATATTAATGTTTAACCACATTGGACATTGACATAGAACGGTGCAAAATCTATAGAGACAACCTTTTTAAAGAATAATAATAATTAGTCACTATGTAATTTCAACAACCACTTCTTATTAATAAAAGTAATAAGTGCAGTAACAGCTGGAGTCGATGGATACAGGTAACTTCCGACCGATTTGGAAGTCATTGGTGTAGGCAAATCTCCGGTAGTAGACGTCTCGTAGCTACAATTACGATGACTAATATCAGTACACATATAATTACTACTTACTCTGGGTAAGGATCAGGGTGCACACAGTAAGTAAGCCCGGGTTGTGCACAGGGTGGAGTCCTGCCTGGTGGAGCCGGTTCTAGGGCACAGTGCTGGCCGTAGGGACAGCTGTACCCGTCGCCGCTCTGGATTGATAACCAGGCTATCTGTAACAAGGATTAAATTGAGGGAAGTTATTTTAATCGCTTGGATGATGGAAAGCAGTTATAAACTCTATATAGACAATTAATAGGACTGACGATGTCATTAGTTTCTGGGAGCCATTGGGTGCAAGTAAAGAGTCAAGTTGTTGTTTAGAAATGGACGTTTACTGGCTGAAAACGTTGAGCAAAGCCTCTTCTGATACGGAGAAGGTTTGGGCTTAATCACCACGCTTGCTCAATGCAGATTGGCACTATCGTTGCTCAATGCGGTTTGACTGACAACGACTTTTATCAAGTACCTACATCATGCTAGAACTAAAGAAAACTCTAGTAGATAAGTCATTCGTGAACTTATTTTTGTGTTGGTTGAAGTTCCCATGAAAGTCAATAGAGGTAGAGTTCACGGTAGAATAATACTGAGAGAAAAATCTAACTTTGTAAAGCACACTTTCAATATGTATGTCAGGCCACTAGTATTAAGAAGACAATGAACATTATTGTATCAGTTTTCGACAGCCATTAATTTGTAGATGAAATTTCAACGGCAGTTAACAATGAATGTCACTGACGATGCCAATAAAAGGCTTACATAACCTCAAATGTCTAGGGACACGCCTAAATCCGGACATCATACTTTATGGTGATATTGCAATCTTCATTGGAAACCGCAAACCTTTTACATTTGAAATTGGTATAATAAATACTGAGAATGAAGACTTCATAATTTCAAATGACGTTCACAAAATTATCTTTATTATCGACCAAGTTAGGTATCTGATGCTGTAAGATCCGAAACAGTATGAAATGTTGACCTTTCTTTCCGGGTCTTTTATTCCGATTAAGTGATAGCAACTTTCATTAGAAGATTATAAGGTATAATATACGTTTGATCGACGTCCAAAAATTTGTAAGACATTTTGCTAGTGGAAAAAATTTCACAATCATTCTTCAAGAGACATGCTGACAGTATAATACTTACTTTGTCTGCACTACCTTTCACTGCAATTAGTAAATCAATGTGTAGGAAAAACCCTGCTACAATCAATTCAGTGTTTCTCTCTATTTATAACCAACTTGCATTCTAAAAGAGCATGAAGCTTCGTCGGGGTATTTCCATAAAACATCACTTTTTACTTGCTGGTAACGTTACTGCAAAAACCGATTTGTAAAAGCGACACGATGTTTTTAATAATTGTCTCTTATTTAGATTAAAATAATGTCTGTGTTTATGTAAAGCTTACTGTGCTATCTGATGGAAAAAGGTTACCGTAACCATGGACAAATTGTATTGCAGAGGCATCAGAAACACGTTGCCGACTGAGATTATTAATACTTGCCAAAAAAATTTGTTTCTCTAGAGGTTACAAAATTCTATAGGGGATAGAGTTTACCTTATCCTTATCCTTACCTTATCCCTATAGAAATGATTTAGGAGATATTATATTATATATATATATAATTGTATAGGATATAGAATTATGTATATAAAATTTTGTAAACATTAAACTGATTAACATATGACTAACTTTCCTTTATTATGAGTTTTAACCATCTAATCAACTAGTCCAATTTGCTTCTGAATTGAAACTAGACAAACTTCTATTTAATACGTCCATTGCCTCCGTCAATTCCCCGTGACTAACAGCGACATTGACATTTATACAAAAAAGTGGGCGTTGCAAACATCGGCAGACACAGCCGAACGCACTTACATCATTATTTGTGAGAACTCTGAATCATTATATAAAGCATTCGGCCACGCTTTAATTGGAGCATCTATTGTTTATTTTTTGCCTTGTCGCTAATTTGTCAATATGTTTTAGTTAGTGATACTATTTATGGAGCTAGATTAGAACTGAATTTGCAAATGGACGTTAAGGAAGAAGTAATCAAATCGATACCACTATTTAGAAATAGTAGTTCTTTGTATTTGGAGTACAGAGATAAAGAAGAGAATACTACCTCTATGTCGTAGTCTTCAGCGTGTTAGCAGCAGTTTCAGTTTAAACTGTCAAACACCAAGCGGTCACCGGTGACCGCAACCTATTGTTCTATAATTGTGTCTATAATGACGGTACTCGACGAGTTAATGATTGTTTATTTACTCATAAAGAATATTGTTCACTTACAATGAGCTTAAATTACTAATTATAGCTAGGTATACAGAGTTATAACCAAACGGTATTAGTAAATATTTTCAGATACATAATTTTCTTAACCTATTTTTAAACATAGCACTCGACAGACGCTCTTATAATTGCCAAATATAAATAATATTATTATATTTAATATTAATATTATTTGACCAAATTATGTTATGTATAGTAGGTTTCACCTAAAACAGAAGGCCAGAACAAAGGTAAAGGTAAAGGTAAAGGTAAAGGCTGCAGTGAAAGGTAAACTTAGGAATAAAGAATAATAAATAGGTATAGTAATACACATCACCTAATAAAAGCAGCTACAAATAAACCTAAAAATAAACAACATGGATCAACATGCACATAAGTCCTCACTACAAAAAGGCCGCAGCACTAATCTTCACACGCATCTTGTATGCGCGTCGCGTAAACGAAAGCGTTGCGTTAATCTGACTTGTATCTTGAATAAACCATAGACTTCTGCTCGAAAGCCAACAATCGGTAACTCATGTTTCTCTATTTCTAGCCTCAAGGAAGTATTTTTCTAATGTTTTTCCTAGTGTTTACATGAATTTGAATTAATGAAGTTTTAAGGATAGTTTTGTTTTTATCAAGAGAACTGAGGAGTTCCTCAGGGTTCGATACTCGGTCCACCTTACCTTTGATGATATGACATTGATGATATTAGATAGGTAACTACTCCTTGTACTTGATTGTAGAATATAGTAAAAGTCTAAACATCTTGCCTTAAACTAATTTACCTTCTTAATATTTGAAATCTCATTGAAAGAGTTAAACAAATAATAACAAACCTTGGACTAAATGCATTAAAAATCATTGCATCGATATTACTTTAAACATTAGTTACATATGTTTAAGTACATCGACATATAAATTGAATTTAACAAGTAACACATTCAATTGATTTCAGATTTACATTCACTACTCAAGCAAATGTTGAAATACGGTGATTTTGTTTGATGATACATAAGCGAAGATTTTGTCGCCCGATGAATAGTAAACACTTACATAAAATACTGTTAGATTCGCGTAAATACGAAAATAGAACTTGCAAAAGCTATGGAGTCTATTAAAATGGAGACTGTGAGTTCAATGAGTTTCCTTACGTAATAACTACGGCCAGTTTTGTAAATAACTGCCTCGTTGGCCGAGTGGTGCAAATACGATTCCCGGGTTGGGCAAAATATTACAAAAAAAAAACTCTGTAGTAGCACGAAGCCTGGAATTGCGCCCAGTAAATGGCAATAGGCTCACCCCCTATTACATGAGACTCATAACATAAATAGTGAAATGTGGGTGTTACATTATACAGTGGCATTAAGTGCCGTAATGTACACCTCTGACTATCCCTTCGGGGACAATAGGTGTGATGTTGTTGTGTACGTTATGATTTGTAAAGTTGCTGTAAGTAGAAAGAACGTGAGTAAGTAAAAAGAACGGCCTTATTCTAAAATTTTATTATAATATTATACATTTGACTGCTCTTACTCTTCCAACGGGCATCACAAGAGCCGAAAGGACGAATAACATAACGTCACGGCTTTTAGATGATAAAATGATTCAAATAAACTTGTTTCTTGTTCATATACAAAATGGTCCCATTTTTCCTAGAAACAGTATCATAACATTTCAATAGATCTTTTTTATGGAGGCAAACGAGCAGACGGATCACCCCTGATGGTGGGCGATCAGCGCCGCCCATGGACACCCGCAACACCAGAGGAGTCACAGGTGTGTTGCCGGCCTTTTAAAAAATAATACGCTCTTTTCTTGAAGGTTTGAAGGTCGTATCGTTTCGGAAATACTGCCGACGACAGATCATTCCACAGTTCTTTTTTAATACTTTTCTTCTAATAGTATGATGATATCTGTCAAACCCAACCATAGTCAAATGATACGACATGTTTAACGCCCGAATTCTGAAAGGCTACTAATTTTAAGTTGCACATAATCCTGCCTTCTCTGTCATTTTTCGAATTGAGTGGCGTTTGAGTATTTCGGCATAAAATTCGACTTCAAATAAGTGTTCTCGTATAACCACTAATTTCACACATACACGACAATAAGCGAAAACAAAGATCGAATTGCAACATTATCTTCAATGATTAACTAGATCAGTGTCAGGTGATCCTCCTTTCATATCACCAGTTCCGAAGGTCCCAACCTTCACAGTTTCAAACTAATGTGACGAATTAATCACAGCTGTTAAACTATCGTCACTATTGTCACTCTGTTGTCATACTATTGTCATATGTCTCGATTATGTCTCGTCTAAAAGTATTGTTGTTTGAGTAACCTCGATGTTTGGTGATTAATGAATGATGATTACTGGTTTAGTGAGAATAGCTACAATAGTAGGTCACTTGTTCTTTTCTTTGAAGTACCTGAGCTTAGTATATGAGTTAATAGTTATAAAGAATGGGGGAAAATATAAAGGATTTAACCTAATAATATACATACTTTACGTAGGCCTAAGTAAATATTTTCAAATTGATTGTGATGTCTTAAATCTTAACCAGATAAGCTATGATCTCTTTATCGAAGAGAAACAAGTTTTTAGTAGTATTTTTTTTTTATTTAGTTGTAAGATTATAACAAAATTTAGAACAGCTTCATTGACCAGTTCAAAATTGTATCTTATAGAATGAGTGGTGGGTTCAATCCTGATCTTGAAAAAATCATCGCAGTTCATAAGTACCCAGTAAGATTATATGTCTATTAGATGTCTTAGTATTTATTATGAAACGACAAGTCAAAAGAGGTTCTATAACATCATCACCATCACCATGCCTTTTATCCCCGAAGGGGTAGGCAGAGGTACACATTACAGCACTTAATACCACT